ACATGCTTTTCCAAAGACCGACGGGACTTAAAAGGAACTGAAAAGACCAAACTATAGCAACAACCCAAGCTCCCATGAGTTGGCATTGCATTGACTTGATTGAGTTCCATGGAGCCTTAAAGATGGTGATATTCTATGGGTAGTCTCAATGACAATTATATTGCGCCAAAAAACAGTTACTCAAGCAACTGGATATGATTTTGAAAACGTCAGACGTTTCAGCTTGTATCCACTAGCTTTCGTCAGTGACTGAGAGACCAGAGGGGAAAGCAGGTTTATAAGCACAACCTATTGATTGATATGCAAATAAAGTGAAGACAAATTTTTTGGAAGTCGAAAAAGGAACAAAAGTCAGACAAGTCAAGACAAGATGATGCACTTTATTTGCATATCAATCAATAGGTTGTGCTTATAAACCTGCTTTCCCCTCTGGTCTCTCAGTCACTGACGAAAGCTAGTGGATACTAGCTGAAACGTCTGACGTTTTCAAAATCATATCCAGTTGCTTGAGTAACTGTTTTTTGGCGTATCGTATTACCTGGATGTCTAACGTTCATCGACGGACAATTATATTGATCTGTTGGTTATTGATGCATGTCATTTCACTGTTCATTAAGGTGATACTAAAGTGACGTCTTTAGCAATAATCGCCGTAAGGCTATTCAATGTTAACATATGCTACCAATTGTCTCAATAATTGGCAATCAGCATTTCACACCAAACTTCCATATCTTAATTTAAATCAATAAAAAACGGCCCAGGGGAAGTAATAAAAGTAAGCTGTGATAGATTTCATGAAGAGGAATCTCGATTGCTTCCATTTGTCATATTTATTGCTATTATCATCATCGGAGGAACCAAAGGTATATAGAGCAACATGCATTTATATTTCCTTTCATATCATGGTATAGTTGTATATATATGCAGTTTGTGACCACGATTGGTGTGTTGGTGTGTTTGGTGTGTGTGGTCATGTTTGGTGTGTGTGACCATGTTTGGTGTGTGTGTGACCATGTTTGGTGTGTGTGACCATGTTTGGTGTGTGTGACCATGTTTGATGTGTGTGACCATGTTTGGTATGTGTGACCATGTTTGGTGTGTGTGTGACCATGTTTGGTGTGTGTGACCATGTTTGGTGTGTGTGACCATGTTTGGTGTGTGTGACCATGTTTGGTGTGTGTGACGTGTGTGTGCTTATGTTTGGTGTATGTGGTCATGAGTCATAAGTTTTTTTTCTATCTTTTCTCTTTTTTATCACCCAGGCCCTCTGGAAGAGTCCATTCTTGAAAGAAAAGGTGGCGTTTTTTTAAAATCCAATTTTGGACTCAAGTGACAATGAAAAAGACTGGTCTATAACATTACATTGGCGCTGCGGAAAGAGTCCATTCCTTTATAGGGGATAAACTTTAGACTTATCTCATCCCGCTACGCTTTCTTCTGTCCAGATGTTACTGCCATTTTCTCGAGTAAATTGTTGAATGAAAAGTCAGGTAAACATTCAATATTGGAATAGGTGGTAGTTATATAAAGGATAAGTTATTTGTAAAAGTAATTTTGGACTGATCCATAACATAACTTAGGGCTTGCTGTAAGAGGAAACTCGGGAATAGGCGGGACAACTTTTTTAAATTCACTTTTGGACTAGGCCTTAGGGTTATTATGAAATAAGTCAATTTCGTGTGAGGCGTTACTGGAAGGGTCTATTCATCATCATCATCATCATTCATCCTCCATAGTAGAGGTGGAGCATACAAAGTTAGCTCGCCACATCTGTTTGTTATACATCACTGAGAAAAGTTCATGTCCCTCCAAGCCAGTTTCAGTTTCAATAAGTTTCTTAACTGTTATGTTGGGCGTCCAACTCTTCTCTTCTCTTCTCTTCTCTTCTCGTTCTATTCTTGAATACAGAGAACAATCTCTTTTAGTTGGTGTCAAACTGAGAAGGCTCCATTTCAGACTGTGACTTGGTAATACTGTAGTTCACTTTAGTTTGGAATGTTCTAATTTTTGATCAGTTCATATTTAGCGGCTTAAGTAATACCTGACCACTATGATATACTGCTGATATATAATGGCATTGGTTTGGCTGCATCAGTGTGGAGGCAGTTTAACGGTGGAAGGAGACAGAAGACAGGGCGATGAGGCTGTTGACACAAACTACTCTTTTATTGCTATAAAATGCTTATCGTTGTAAAATCTTCTGGGTTTATACAAATACCCGAAGTCTTGGTTATAGTGCAAACTTTTAATACAGCACAAGTTAAAGTAGACAATACTATCCATTCTCGATTATGAGTTGAAAACGAAGAACAAGGAAACTCACAACAAGACGAACAAACATCACAACTGTTACCATAGATCACTGACAGCTTTATGTACATATTGTTCAGTCCACATACATGTTTCTAAGTATTTTACCTACATGTGCTAATGCTTTTTGCCGTCCTACAACAGTTGTGCCAATCTTTATGACTTTCGAACCTTGCATCTTCCTTTTGATACGTTCTATTCCCGTTTAGTAATATTGCTAAAGTTAACCTTCACGATGCCTCAGTTTTTATCACAGCATATAGGAGATACGGGACTACAGATAGGTGAATGACAATGGAAATACTGACGCATCACCATTGGAAGCATCACATACCATATGAAGCAGGACGGGTATGAATTTGTCCCATGCAAAAAGCCGAAAACATTGGTCTAAAATGAAAAAATATCGTATTTTCATTTTACATTGTACGTTTCATGAAATTTTTGGTAATGTTTGTAAGTATTAATTAAAAGTCTGCTTACATATCATGATCATGACATCGTGATGACAAAAATCGTCCGATGGAGACTTATGCTCGTTTCTCGTTAAGATTTTATCCGTTGGACAATGTGTCGTCCGAATAAAAATTGACCCACAAACTGCAGTATTCTACTACGTTCCATGGTAGAGCAAACATATATGACATATAGAAGGATATCAGTAGATACCTTTATCTTCTTCGGTAGATATCAATAGATATATATCATCGATAGATATTTATTATGAAAGCCTCATTTGCACAATCTATGAGAAACTGTAGCCATTCCATAGTGAATTTGGAAGTTATGTAGTTAGTAGAATATTCATCAATCAGTGACTGTTTTTGAAAGGTAGAAACACGTACCTGAAAATATTTGATGTCGACTGTACATCTTGATCACGGAGTGACCTAGTCTCGCGAGAACATGAGACTTGTGCGGGTCTTCTGGCCTCCCCCGCCTCCTTGCGGAGTAGGGGTAAATAGGACTTGGACAGTGCCGACCTTCAGTGCGATTCGTCCCGGCACGTTCCAACTGGATGAGGACTGCTGCGAGCCTTACGGGATTCTTGGTCTATAATCTTAATGATGGCGGGGAGGCCAGAAGACCCGCACAAGTCTCGACCTTGTCTCGTGTTCTCGCGAGACTAGGTCACTCCTTATGATGTACAGTCGACATCGAAAATGTGTACGTGTTTTTACCTTTCAACAACAGACACTGACTGATGAATATTCTCTTAATCTTACATGACTGATTAGCCTCCTCAACAGAAGTTAAGTAAACTTTAAGGTAGATATGATTAGACATAAATCACAAAAATGATGGCTTCATATCGTCCTTGGGCAAGTCTGTCACACTTTTGTTTTTAGGGTAGCGTAGATTATTTATACAGATAGAGGTCCTTATATGTATAATAAATTGACAACATTTACAATTACGTCAGCTTTGAAAGTCAATATCTTTTAATGAAAGTTTGATTTACCTCTGAAGGACGTTTGCAACCTCTGTGAAGGGGGCATTGTTTGACGTCTTGAATGTATCTGTGCTTGTCTCTGTCCGTCTTTATTGCTGCAGTCACTGATTAACATAAGAAGCTACATTCCAGTAAAATCGCGATGGGAAACTGTTACTAGTGTTAGTGAGGTCAAAGATCTCGGAAGTGGTGATTAATCATAAATCAAAATTCCTGTGATAATGTCTTAGCGCCAAAGTCAAGGTTACTAGCTGTGTGTGTTTCTGTATTTGTGAATGAATGAATGAATGAGACTTTATTTCTGTGTCGTGCGCTATCCCGCGCCCAGCCCGGGGCTTATGCGACACCGGTTCAATAAGTTATACACCGGTTCAATAAGTTATACATAAACATTTGTGTGTGTGTGTGTTTGTTAGTGTATTTGTGTATGTGTGGTGTGTATTTGTGTGTGTTAGTGTATTTGTGTTTTTTGTGTGTGTGTGCGTGTCTGTGTTTGTGTATGTGTGTGCGTGTTTGCGTGTGTGTGTATTTGTGTGTGTGTGTGTGTGTCTTTGTGTGTGTGCGTGTGCGTGTTGGTGGGTGTGTATTTGTGTGTGTTAGTGTATTTGTGTGTGTGTGTGTACGTGTGTTTGTGTGTATTTATGTATTTATCTGTGTGTGTGTGTGTGTGTGTGTATGTGTTTTGTCACAAAGTAACTTGAATAAACTCTACAGCATTGCAAATGAATTTCATTCAGGCAGCGGCGCTGAAAAAATATGACGCCTTGAGACTGTGTATAAAACCTGGAAACACAGAGGTCCGCCATGTTTGTTTACATATTGTTAGTTTGTGATGGTACCACCTGTACTTGGTGTGGGCTGTTTAGCACCAGCCATAAATGTCAGAAATGGGATATAATTGCACGGGTATGTTAAAAAAAAGTAGGGGTGACAAACAGAAGATGTTTTTTTTTCAAATTAACATATTTGATTTTTAGTAAACACGTTACATAATGCTCTTTTACGCGTTTTTTATGTTTTTTTTTGTACTGCAATTTTTTACGCCAGCCCAACGGCGTACAAATTCCGGTACAAAAAAGAAATCCCAATTAAAACGCATAAATGAGGCAAACAATAAGCCGAGACCTACACCTCTGGTTGCAGAGTAACGATCCTTGGCTTTGGGACGGCTAACTCTTGTTAGTGAGTGAGTGAGTGAGCAAGTAAGTTCTCACACCTTTTCCTATATGGCTTAATTTTTGCAAAGCTCAATTTTACACGTTGATGATTTGTAATCTTCAAGCTTGCATGTGAATGGAGTGGTGGTCAAATATTCTGTATTTTGTAAGCCGTTTTTTTTATATACTGTGGTTTGTAGGAAATAGGAAATTTAAGGAAATTTGAAATGGTGTTTCCTGGAATACGTCTATTACATGTGTCCAAGAATGTTGTTTGACCGAGTGGAGAGCAAACTGCGGAGCCTTTACTAGCAATGCACGGAGGCAACATTTAACAATATGGCGGCCTGCATGACTGACTGTCACCTAGACAAGCGACCTAATACGTAATCGGTTATTGTGACCAACAATTTTCATAAGATTCACTGTGGATTTACTGAGCTTTCCTGGGCGCCTGTTCAAATGCAACTGAAGTGATATACATGAAACGTGTTTTTATAACAGACAGAAAGTTCTCATCATAGGAAACGATTGCCTGTTACGACTTCGATGTAGTGCCAACTCATGTGTCATTTTGGCGCATGAAGAATGGAGATCAGTCCTCCAAGCATAACGATTTCTTTCTGGGCGTGTCAATATCTATGCTGTCCGTTGAATTTATCGGGGACTTGATACCGCTGTCTTGGCTTCTCCGAGAGACCCGACTGTCGCACAGCTTGGACGGTACAGCATCGCAGAGTCCCGACGGTACAGCATCGCACAGCTTTGAAGGTACAGCATCGCACAGCTTTGACGGTACAGCGTCGCTTGTAGGGCAAGCCCCATCTGTCGACCTGAGGATAAAAATGTTTCTAAACAGTGAATTCTAGCAAGCATGCAACTGTCTGAGATTAACTGATCATCAAGGGTGTTGGTTTTAATGTTGATATCCTTAGAAGATGGTACAGGAATATAAAAGTCTTATACTTTAGTCATTGCCACAATTGGGATAGTAGAAATTCAATCTGTGACTTGTTTTGAAAGGAAGAAACACGTACGTCCTAATTTTCGATATCTACTGATCACGAAGTGACCTAGTCTCGCGAGAACACGAGACAAGGTCGAGACTTGTGGGTCTTCTGGCCTCCCCGCCATCATTAAGATTATACAACAAGAATCCCGTAAGGCTCATAGAATGATCAAAGAAGCCGTCCACACCCAGTTGGAACGTGCCGGGACGAATCGCAATGAAGGTTGGGAGCTGTATAAGTGCTATTTACCCCTACTCCGGAGTAGGACTTGGTCAGATACTAGGTCACTCCATGATCAAGACGTGCAGTAGACATCGATAGTTTGGAGGTATGACTTTCTACCTTAAAGTTGAACACAAGTCACTGATTGACTTCTGTTAATCCTACGTGACTAATAAACCTCTTAAACACAATTGGAATGTTATTGTGAAGATTTCGTAATATATTTTATAAAGAGATACCTGCATGTAATCACTTGCAATTGCAAAATGCACAAAATGATACAGAATGATCAAGGACCAAGTTGTCGTGCACAGTGAAGATAGCTTTAGGAAATTTCTGCGGACCTACCCAACTTCTACCACTTCTACTGCAGGCGGGCTGCGGTTCCTGCCATTCAGAAGGGTCATGGTGTGCTTGTCCTCTGCCGATAGTTTCATCTTATCCCTCCGATAATAGCACATAGAAAAAACCACAACGTTGACCACCAACAGCGTTATTCCAACGGAGATCGTTATACTGAGTTCCCTGGAATGGGGCTTTTTTGTAGGTTTATTCTTACTGAAGATGTCATACGGGACTTTCCGGGGTTTCCATTCATCGCGACTGTCCACTGACTCCCCCGTGGGGCAGCTGAAAGGACCGAACGAGCTGCCCTCACCGCCCGGGATGCCGCCGGTTGAGTTTCGGGGTTCGGATATTCTGGGAAGCCATTCCATCCAGAAAGCCACCTTCGCGGCACGGTAGTGGGAGCGGTCGTCTTTTGGCTTCATTCCGATCGCGAAGTAGTGGCTGCCTCGCTGGTACCTGCGCCAGGTCAGTCCCTCGAACCTGTTTGTCTTTTGGTGCAGGAAAGCAGTTTCTTGTTTCTTGTGTTTGTTTGGGTTTCTGTTTGGGTACAAAATACAGTAAAATACAGAAATAGCAAATGGAGTGAAACAATACAAACAACAAACAACAAAATCTAAACAATTAGGTGTTGAATTCATCATCATCATCTGTCGACACCCTGGCTGGGGGCGGGGTGTTGTATTACTTATATCACATTGTGGACATAACGAATAGTGTATATTATATTCTACAGTTACTACAAGAAAATTAGACAACTAGTCCTTGTTTCATACGTTAATACAAGGTATCGAAAGTAGATTAATCTTTCAGCTTGAACATTGAACACTTCCAACAAATGCATGAACACGTGTTTCCTATAACCTTCCTACTTGTACCGGCAATCAAGTTCTTTCATCAGCCCCGGGCATGCTCAAATCAAATGCATCACGAGCTACATTACCAAAGAGAGGCAACCGAATGAAACCGTTTTCTTTTCCATTCATGTTTGTTTGGTATGAAAGTTGCAGAGATACAAAGAGGGACTGGATTCATGTAAACAAAATCATCTTCTTTAGTCAACAAAATAACCTTACAAAACAGAATTTGAAGAGTTCGCTTATGAATCACACAGTAATGTCCCTTGCACAGACGTAGAACTAGTTAGAAAAGGAAGGCGTTCTCGTACACAAAAATCATAAATGGGCAGTAGACACTAACAACAAGTGTTTCCCACTTGATACAAAGCTATTTTATCATGTTCTATGCTGTCCACAGTTTGTGCTATCCACAGTTTCTGCAAGTTCTATTTTCAGTTGTCTTGGTAATTTGATGGGCCTTTAAAAAGGAATTTTTGTGTCATGTTTTAGATATATTTTCAACTGAGGCGTGTAAAGGGTATCCATGCGTCATGAAATAAACGGACTAGACTTACAGAGTCTCATAACAAATAAAATGAGGGATTATATCCTTTTGATGGGGGAAATGTGACCAAACAAACATACCTCGTCGACGATCAGCGTGCGCTTGTTTCAACTCCACAAGAACTCGAAATGTACAATTCTATCTAATCCATACAACTTCGCAGTCCAACCAATATGTTAGTGATGTTACGGAGTCTACACCTATTTCAGGATACAAACGGACGCTGCCGTGCTCAGTTTGGGTCTGGTCTATCCGACGTCGTTCCAGTATTACGTCCAGTACACATCAATTCGTCATGTATACTAAAAACGTATAACTTTATGTATACTAAAATCGTATAACGTTACTCAATGATATTCGATACACATCGACACATTTCTTTAGGTTTTTAGAAAATACCTACGACCTGTACACAGTACCGCATCGTCAAGTATACGATGCGGTAAAATCAATTTATGTAGGTACCGTTTAAATCAATTTATGTAGGTAAACGATTTACACTTCGTAATTGTATATAATCCGAACATGATATTTCCCGTTAGACACTGTGTTAGAGATGGCTGTATCTTGTTTTTGTTTTTATTAGCATAAATCAATAACCTATATAGCTTTTATGAACCTATATAGCTTGAATGTTGTCATGCTAGTACTTGTATTTGGTTATAGGTTGCAAATGCAAAGTTTAAGATGAATTTTGGTATTCCTAGTGGGCTTCTTCATTCTCCAGTCTTTCCTTCCATTGTTCCAGTGTTTGTTTCTTCTGTTCTGATCTTGTATTGGAGAAGAGTTTCTTCCGAGACGCGATCGAATAGTTTCAGCGTTATCATCATTCACTCCATGCCAGGTATGGATGAAATTTAATTGTTTTTCCTCGTGTTTCGTATATTCCTCCGTATTCTATTGCCATTTTGTTCAATGGATTCAACTTGTCCATTTTTGACGTGAAATTTGATATGGAGGTTGAGTGGTCAAACACTGGACGTTGTTTTCGTATTTTTATACACTCTTTCTCGGACCACTTTCCGACAAACGATTTATATTTCGGGCTCTGGTTTCCTGGTATTAAATCAAGGTGATCGCAATTTAGTATAATTGTGATTTTACTAGTAAATTCCGTACAGAAATTCCCCTTTAACACTTTTGGCATACAATACTTGAAATTGTATAATTTGGGACTTTTTGGATGTTTTCAGATGAATACACTTTAAGCAGTGTGTGGCCATATTTGGTATGGAGAGCAAGAATTGATAGGCATGCCACGTTCTGTATGCTTTCTACCTATTGTATGTATGTATGTATGTATGTGGATACATTCTATTTGGGATGGCCCGATTGTCCAATTTGCAGACGGTGGTTGTTTTTGCTAATCGGCTGTTGAGATAACTGGTAGTTCAATTTTCCTAGAACATCAATACCAGATAGTAGGTAGAAGTATTCCCCGTTATTTCAAGTGGTGCCTTACACTTGTAGATTGATGGAAATCTACAGCAGTCAGACTGAATCTGAATCTTTTACCAAACTAGAAAGGCCACTATCTGCTCGAGAGCAAATGCAGCATATTTCAGTCCATTTCCTTCCCTATTCCAGAAATGGCAAAATGAACTGTTTTATGTCAACCTTTTTCTCCAGCATTTCAATACCCCCAACTTCGTAACGATTGTTCTCGACACCCCTACGTATACAATCATTTCAGTGTTAATAAACCTCCTCAGTAACATATAACATCAAAACCCCAACATAGAGCTTTTTAGTAAAATTGTTCTTCAGGCTTTTTAGTAAAAGTGTTCTTCATGTTCTGTGGGTATGTGTCAGGCTTCCAATTTCTGATTATTTGGCTTTTATATAAGGGTGCAAAATGTACATTTTTGGTCGGAAAATAGCAAAAAAGTCCCATTTTACACAATTTTAAAGTGCTGTATACCAATCATGTTATTCTCATTCCGCGAGCATGTGTCCAAGGCACCTCATACCAAATTTTAGGTCATTTGCTTTGAATATCAGCGCACTTGAACACAAAGTTTACAAAATAGAAAAATAAAGAAAAAACGTCAGTGGTTTGTGGGTATGTGTCAAATGTATCCTCCTACAAAATTACAGGTGATTTGACTTTAATACCAGAGCTGCAGAGGCAAAAATGTACAAAATGGCCAAAAAATTAAACAACATTTTGAAAGCCTATACAAATATTAAAAAAAAACATCTAGGTGTATGTGGCTACTATCTCCATGCCAAAATTCAGGTCATTTGGTTCCAAAATGAAGAAGCTGAATCCATGTATCGAAATTACAGGTGAAGGAGAAGAAACATGAGGGAAACCATCTATTCCAGCCATATCATGGTATGGACTGAAATATAATCGGGTGATCATAAACTGATGTTGTCAGGCAGACGGGTAGTATACCTTGACATAGTTTCCTATGATTGTGGGGGTGATCTGTTAAAGCATGGCAATATATCTAAACCTTACACATACATAGCCAGCCATGTAACAATTCATCGAACATGGCTTTAAGTTCTTTTGGAAATACGTGGTCAGGAAAGAAATCGTATTTTGTGTGTTTTTGGACTGGTCCATAATATCACATTGGGGCCACTGGAAAACTCTGTTCATGAGTGTTTCTTTTCAATTCAATATGAATATATAACCGTAGAACGTGTGAAACAGTGGCGCCTCTTGTCTAAAATATTGAGATGTTTTGAAATTTAGGGTGTAGTTTGTAAGGTCAATGAGTAGACACCCAGCTTCAGGCCAGTTGTTGAGTCGTGAATACTATACCCTGTCCTGCAATCCTTCCTTTTCTCGGCACCATTACATTACTATACTACGTAAATCGTATTTGACCAGATCTCAGTCTATTCGCTAACAATGCATAATCGTAAGTTGACTAGGTCAAGACGTGCAGGGAAATTTAGGCCATGTTGATTTGATAATATGGATGACTTCCTCTAAGAACATTGATGTGAGTGTGCGAATAAAAAGAGTTTGCCCAAAAAATTTGCCTTCAATATACAGGTTAAACAAATGACAAAAAAAAACTTAAAGTTTCTTTACGTTTTCTTCTTTTCTTGTATGACTTCTTTTTTCTTCTTGTTTTTTTTTACCTTTCATGCACGTGTGTATGTCATCCATATAATTAAAGTAACGTCTTACGTACGGATATGACTTAAATCGTCACGCATTTATAATGACTGGATATGTTTTTTCATATGTAATTTGACAAACAAAATAGCCATGTGTAAGATACAGCGCAAGAAGTTATAATTCGCATAAAACAGAATGATTTCATTACATAACTTGTAAAACTTGTTGTATAATCATAGCAGGGAACAGTATGAAGACTACGTCTAATTTAGAGCAAGTTATATTAAAAATTTCAACTCAGGGCAAGCATTATTTTAATGTCTTGGATAAAGTGTAAATTGATTGAGTTATGAAAGTAAATATACTATATTTGGCTCAAAATGATGACAGTGATCAAGTATACAGACGGTGCATAAATTACTTGGTATATTTTGATTGATATTATAAAGATAATATTCTAGTTTGAACAGAAAACGTTTGAGTGTTGTAGACAAACGCTTTCCATGTCATGTATATATATTTTTATGATACATATCCTTAATGCAACTTCACTGTTTAAAAGGCAGCGTGGGTTAAACATCACTTCTTGTAAAGATTGAATTAGTAATACATAGTTTCAGAAAGAAATGTTTGTACTCAGTTCAGTCTGCTCTGTTGTTTTTTGTAGTTATTTGATTTTGTCCGAATATTTGATAACTGTAATCATCATACGATACCATTTTAATACACTAATATATGTTTGCATAATTCAATACATTTTGTCTTCACTCCTTTGAATCTAATATAACTTTTTGACATTTACACCGAAATGTAATAAATATCTGGTGTTTGCTACAAGCTGGATTTCCTGTAGTTTGATGCTGGTTTTCGAGCCATTCAAAGTGCATCTGTTTCTTTGATCTTGAAATTAGCTTTTATCAAGTCTACTGGATCACATCATTGTCGTATAAGTCTAGCGATTTTTTTATTCCTGTCATATGATCAGTTTGATTTTAGTCGTATTCTTCGTTAATATTTTGTCGCGTATATTCAAAAAAGTTATTGATTAGATTTAAGTTGCTTTTAGGTCGGTATTTGCACAATGAACAACCAGAACATCTAAGACAGTCATGTACAATAGTACACCAGATGACACGTGAACACCCATGATTATTACAGAAGTTTGGTTTTAACTAAAGCACCACATGATCGTCCACATCAAACGGTGGTGGCGGGACAGGGCTGTTTTTCTCTACGGCCACCGGGACGATAGCGTCCCCATTGGGCAGGCGGAGGGGCCCGTTGATTAGCGGAAGGCTCATGATTTTGGGAGGTTCTCCCAGAGCGACAGGCAGAACTTTTGTGGAGTCTGGTGGCATGAGGGAGTCTTCAGTGCTGGATGAGGGAAGAATTGTGGCTTCACGCAGACCCGGGCTTCTGAAAGAAGAAATATATGTTGTACATAAGTACATCTGACCTGCTACTACATTTCAGTATACTATTCGCGTTAGCTTAGCAATTATGTATATGTACATTTCACCATAGATTGCCCCTTGTATAGTAGAGATAGACTCATATTTTAGCCATGTATTAAGTATATTTCCCCACTTCAGATATTTGGCTAGTAAAGTGAAATGTATATTCCTTTTAACTTTTGATAAACCTACTCTAAGTAATCTCACAGCCGCATATATCCATACAATCACTACTAAGCGAGATGAAGCCGAAAAGAATAGAAATTAGACATTTATTTACACTCTTATATGTTCATATGTATGTTATGTATATGTTTATGTTCATGTTCTGTACCCATGCGACCTGTACTTAGTTCTGTAGAACACAAATGTACAATAAAGGTCTTCATTCATTATATCGGTTTTGGTTAGTTTTTACGAAAATGTCCTTAAAGATGTTGTATGTATATAATATATACATACAACATCTTAAATTATATATTTGCAGCTGTTGATTATGCCATTGATTACATTTCATTCATGATGTGAAGAAATCAAAGAAGATTAGTAGACACATGTTGTTTCACTAACATAAACATGAAAGAAAGCAGTTCAGTTAACTTGACTGGGCAAAACGTTTATCATAGGTTTTTGAACTTTGATTTTTTAACACATCAAACCTTTATTACAATAACGTAGGCTAAATATAGCAAAGAGGTACATGTAATTTACAACCAAAAAGGCTAGTGGGGTAGACATGGTGATTCAAAATACTAAAAGAGGAATAAAGCCTATAGAAGTAAAAGCCTACCACAGCGCAGTCCCATTTTTCTTGTTTTCCTTGTACAAAGAAAATGTATCTTGTAGAAAGAAAACAATTCTTTGACAAGAAATTAAAGAATTCCCGTAGCAAGAAAATTCAACAAACGTAGCAAGAAAAGGATTCTGTCCACAAGAAAAGATTTCTTGACCTAAGAGCTAACTTTCTTAAAATTCTAAAAATTCTTAAGATTCTTGTTGGTGAGCATGATAATAGAAATATTTTCTTTTTTTGAAAAAGAAGAATAAAATTATTTGTGTATGAATCAACATACGAAAACTTTGAAGAATGTTTCTTGAATTTTCTTGAATTTCCCCTTCACAAGAAAATATTTCTCAACATTAGAAAATAAGAAAAATAAGAAAAAAAAATTTTTTGGGTAGTGTACTAGCTTCAATGTCCCAATATTTAAGGACAAAAACATAGGGACAAAAATAACGGTGGGTCTCCAGTTGTCTAGAAAAGTTATCACTTAGATCTGATGAAAATGTTGAAAGTCAATCTGACAAAATCAACGTAGCTCTGTGTGAAGTGAGATAGATGTTTTAAGCCACCCTACCTTAGTTATCTGCTGAATATAGTTTGACTTTTACTTTGCTGGTATGTGAACCAAAGGATGTGTACAGAAACACAGGTTACGCGAGTACGGACATTTTCCATCATGTATATTAGTCATGTATATTAGTCATGTATATTAGTCATACAGTTATAACAAACTGAACAAGAATAAAATTTCTATACCAGACGTTCATAGCAATATGTAGCTAAGAAAATTGAATGTGGAAGACAGGAACAGATATGGCATGTCTACTCTTACTGTAAGGTATGCCACCAGGTGGTAACGTTACCAGACGCATGTATGGGCTTGGGTTATCAGAAATATGCTGCTGAATATAGTTTGACTTTTACTTGCTGGTATGTGAACCAAAGGATGTGTACAGAAACACAGGTTACGCGAGTACGGACATTTTCCATCATAGTTACGATGCTTATTGTGACATAATCAATCCTTACACATTCACTATTAGAATAAATTCAGCTTAAAAATGAACAGTTACCCCAAATTAATATTAACAGCAAGAGCGCACATAACAAACCCTATGTCAGCGTTCCGTTTGATACTAACGAAAAATACGTCCCCACAAATCCATTCTTAACCCACGTCCCTACATATCCATTCTCAACGTAGATTCTGGTTAAATAAACTTACCTAAAGCTTAGGTCAATAGGAAAATCGCACAAACAACCCCGGGCCTATCTCAGCGTTCCGGGACAAACAGAGAACACACTAGACGCTCCTTTGTCCTGACACTAGAAGATATCACCACACTAAAAACTGAAGACAACAAGCAATCCACTGCAAAACCAGACCCCCATGACCCACGGGGAGGGGTCAGATGTCATCGGTTAAAAAACTTCCAAAACCTCAAATACCTAGACCATGCCCGTAGCCAGGATTTTGAATGGGGGGTTCTTCCCACTGCTTGAGGGGACTAGCGAGCGGCGTAGGCTCCCCCGGAAAATTTTGAAAAATGAGCCTTCTGAAATGGCATTTCCTGCGTTTTTGAGGATTTCAGAGAAAAAATATCTTTTTATGATATCTTTTTATTCAATAACAAAGTAGGCAGTTTTTATACGATTCCAAGCCCGCTGATGATAAAAATCAGTCCGTCGTAAGAGAAATCTTGGACCTTTAGATAAAGCCTTAAACCCAAAAAGTGGACCTTTGAGCCTTGTGGGGGGTTCTTCCGACCCCGACCCCCCCCCCCTGGCTACGGGCATGTAGACCTTCATTCGAAGCATGCCAAAAAGTGCCGCTACAATGGCCTGCTTTACACATAACTTTGTCAAGTCGACTAGTACTCAAGACGACTTGAGCTAGTCGACTTGACTAACATTTCCCAGCGTAAAGAGAAATGATTCAACTCAATGGGCACTAATAAAGTCGACTTGAGCGTCTCTGCGTAGTCAGGCAAGACCGAGCCAACGAGTCGACTTGGGGGGAGGGTGACACAGCGGGAGTGCCAGATCGCTTTGCGGCCTCGTGTGTAAACAAAAAATTTTCAAGTCGACTTCACCGAGTCGACTTAGAAATGGTGTGAGTCAAAGCGAGTCAAAACTTTCGAAAGCCACTAGAATGCTCAAATTCGAACTTCAATTTCTTTTTCTACACTACGAGCTACTTACAAAAACTATAAAAACATCCACAACATCAAAAGTTATCCCGTCTAGTCACATTCCGTCATAAAAAGGACCACAGTAGTTCCATGAAAGCAGCTATTTTGCTGGAAACCACACCAAACACTTACTGCCCAAGCATCTATGTCCCACTCAAAAATCAAGACCATAGCATGTCCACAGCACTATTTTACCTTTTGAAATAGCTACAGGGCCTCAATGACAAACTGCATACAATATATAACTACTGGACACAGATATACCAAGGTCAACTTGTTTCGTTACTTCTGTAATATTTGACTTTCCATGTCTCTTTGATTTGATCATCTATATTTCTTTCCATTGATATGCAAACTCCACTTTTAGTTATTTACTTTTAAGTTGACATACCTTTTTACTATCTTCTATTATGATTTGATATCTGAACGATTATAATTACTTCTATGTTACCTTATTTCATTTGATTGTTGATGAGTTAGTTACGATTTCGTCTTGTTCACGATAAGTTTATCTATTTTTAGTTGACCTTTGTTAGTTCATCTTTAACCTTTTGTTATAATTATAATGTCATGTAGTTTTGTTGGGGTTATCCCCCCAGGAATCTTTGAAAAACGCCAATAGTCGACATGTATTTTCTGGTTAAATAAACTAACAATAAAAAAACATATTGTCATTTAAACACGTCTAAATGATCGTGAGCTATAGGTACAAACACATAAACAGAACAGAAAGTTATCGTGGCATTTTCTAAACAATTTTGTAAATAAGCCCTGACTTAGATTCAATACGGTTACCTTTAATCAACTACATAATGCTGCTGATATAAAATTCTTGTTATGTATCAGCATGGGGTTTAGTATATTCTCTAATTATGCAGATTATATCGTCTTCGTTTACATATGTTATGTGTAGAATTTCTAATTGCTGATGGCACATGTCAGCACAATTTTTTAGTATCATCAATCACGTCTTTTTTCACATTTTAGTATCACATTTTTAATCCAGAAGTTTATGTTCACATTATTCACATTTTCCTAAACATCACAATTTTTCACATTTTTGGCCCCAAATCACATTTCTTGATTCACATTTTCTCAAAATTTCATATTTTGGTCTTTCAAATTTTTTTAAAAACAAAATCACATAACATCACATTATATCACATTTTCCCAATTTTTGTTTGGCTCAAATTCACACAAAGTTTACATGAATGACCGTGCTAGTCCATGGTAGTTAGCGACAATACGGAGCCGGTGGTAACTCTGGAGGATGGCAACCAGGCTGCCGAAGCTCCACGACTCAAGAACTCGATTCAGTAATTACGCAAAAAGCCAGCATGTGCCGGCTTGTCGTATACGTCGCTGTGTTCTGCCGCAAATTCACAATACCAGCTTTGTATTCCTGCGGTTTGTAGCATCTTTATTTTGGGCCGGAATTTTTAATTCGTCCGTGCGGAATAGTTTGGGGGTCTTCAGAAGATGTCATTCATACAATTAAGTCAGCGTGGCGAAAACAAAAGTAATTGTTAACATGAATACTTTGCAAAACCAACTTCATGACATACCTTCTCTCCCAGATTCAGTCCTCGTGATCTAGACCAAAAATAGAAACAACTAGAATTACTCTATAGTCAGTGGTCACAGGGTATCCTAGTATGGTCAAAATGTTTATGAGCGGAGTTGAGGTTTAGCGAACAAAATCCTTCCTGAAGTGCAGAAATCATGCTCGAGAAAACGCAACTTTACGAGTGTTTTCTGTAGTCCTTCTGTAATTACCCTCCCCAGAACGGTATGGTTTGGTATTTGGGGAATGAATAGCGTTTGGACTAGTTAAAAAATGGTTCACCTTGCAATTTCAAATGGTACTCCAGGGGGGAATTTGTTGCTTGCACGTGTACATCATTTCTCAAGAAGCTGAGATCTAAATGGTATTTGGTAGGTGATTAGCGGTTGTGGAAAAATAGTTCAAAATTAATTCATCTGTCG